AGAGAGAGAAAAGGGGAGAGACAGAGACTGGGGGGGCGGCAAGCCGGGGGGTGGTAGTTGAGGTGGGGGTGGAGGAGACGGGGGAACCGACAGGATGGGGGGAAGCTTCTTCCTCCTCCCCTGCTCTGTGTGGAGCTCCCCCACTCCTCCCTCCCCCACAATTTTCGCGGGTCCCCTTTCTTGTAGGTGTCTAATCCTGACTTTTCCCACTTGTTAAGGGGCCTTAGTAGAAGCCCTAAAGTTTATCCAGTTCCATTACAACTGACACAAGTGGGGAAATAGCTGGTGATAACTTTTTATTCCAGGAATCCCAACTATCTAAAAAATTACTTACTACAAAATTATTAAAATTATATACCTTTCTTCTCTCCAATTTCATGAGCCATAGAAATTTCTTAAATGTTTTTAAATGGCATTTTAATGTAAGCATGCTCAACTGCAGCCTCCAAAGAATCAGCAATGTCCAAAACCCACCCAGTAACCCCTGTTAGTTTTGCGGCATCATGATACTATTGAGTATTTTGTGATGGACCACCTAACCCTTGGTTTCTTTTTCTCCTGTATAAAGTTGTTAATCGTAATTTTGCCAATCTTTCAAATTGTTATCAGGAATTACTACTGGAAGGTTAGCTGGTAGGTAACTTACTTTGGGTGGATTAGATAACATGCAGTGAAAAGTTCGGTGCATAAAAGAATAAACCTTCTTAAATAGCCCCAGATTTAAAAGGTACATTGCACTGCACCTCAAAAACAACTTTATTTTATCTGAAAGGACAGAAAGTCTTTCTCAACCTAAATGGAACGCTATGAAAGTCTGAGAGGGAACTGAGTGCACACACTGAAAACTATGAAAGGGACTTAGCTGACAACCATTTTGCTTGGCTCAGCTCCCAGGCACACCTATAACCATCTTCCAATTTATATTCTGACCTGAGGACGTATAGCAGCAATGACTAGATATTTTATTTATTCTTATTTGTACTAAAACACACACACACTTTTGTTTTTATTTGTACTCCAAAATGAGACCTCACTTCTTTCACATCACCTACTGCCTGGACCTTTAATCTGGAGGTTACAGGAATCGAACCTGGGACCTTCTGCATAGAAAGCAGAGGCTCTGTCACTGAACTACAACCCTTCTGTGGGTCCACTGTATTATTTTGAAAAGGATAGAGAGTTGCCAGTCTGGGTAAGTTGCCTCCATGAAGTGTAGGACTTCTGGCATTCTGGGACCAGGACACAGACTTTTAAAAAAACACCCATTCATTCATTCATTCATTTATTTATCTTCAGTTATACCCCAATGTCTCCCTAGTGGGAAACTAAAGCTGCTTTCATCATTCTCCTCTCCTCCATTTTATCCTCACAACAGGCATGTGAGGTGGGTTAGCCTTAGAGTGTGTGACTGGCCCACAGCCATCCAGCAAGCTTCCATCGCAGGGTATGGATTTGAACCTGGCTCTCCTACATCCTAGTACTGCTCTAGTCACTGTACAAGACTCTCATCACAACTTGAATGGCTACCCACATGCTACTAACATTTTAAACATTGTTTAGGTATAACAGACAGATGCATGCAGGATAGGTCTATCGGTGGCTTCAACTAGCCATGGTGACTGAGGTGAACCTCCACATTCAGAGGCACTAAACCTCTGAATCCCAGAGCCAGGAGGCAACATCAACATCAGTGAGGCAAAAGTATAAAATGCATGTATGTTTTAAGTTTTTACTGTGGAGAAATGCCCAGAATCTGCAAGTTCCCTTCAGAGAAGTTAGAAAAATAAACACTGGGGAGGGGACAACACAAATTTGAGGTCAGGGAATAAGGACAAATTCGAAATCAATTTTGTTTACCAAAATTATCTCTATATGTATTTTCCATTTCATAACATTCCTAATTTTTTTCTGGCTGGATAGGAGTTAATGAACAAAAACAAACCACCTTGTTCTGCAAGCAAGATGCTACTAGGGCTCTATGACATGGTTTGACTTTATCAGACAGCAAGGATCTGAAGGCAGAAAAGCGACTTACCTTCTTAAACATAACTAACGAGATGACTGCAGATGCTGTGAAAAGTGCTGCTATAATTATCATCATGATGCCTACTGGAATACTAAGGTTAAGTCCAGTAAGAGATGAAATCCATCCGCTAGAGACAAAAAGAAAATACAACTCTTTGTACATACATACATATGGCTCTAATATGGTACATCTTATTGAACCATGCCTATTGTTCCTTACTCTAAAATGCCAAGGAATAGATAATTCTCTCTTAACATGTACCTTAGTAGATCAAGATCGGTAGCCGTGTTAGTTTGTCTGTAGCAGTAGAAAAGAGCAAGAGTCCAGTAGCACCTTAAAGACTAACAAAATATGTGGCAGGGTATGAGCTTGTGTGAATCACAGCTCACTTCTTCAGAGGCAGCTAGAATGGGAGTCAGTCTGTCCTATTTATTGGAAAGTGGAGTGATTTTAGATGCTGAAAATCTCACCTAAATCCAATCACACCTGCTGTTGTCATTCACCTGCTATGGTCATTTGCCTGCTAATATCTTTCAGCACCTGATATCACTCCACTTTCCAATAAATAGGACAGACTGACTCCCATTCTAGCTGCCTCTGAAGAAGTGAGCTGTGATTCACACAAGCTCATACCCTGCCACATATTTTGTTAGTCTTTAAGGTGCTACTGGACTCATGTACCTTAGTAGTTCTGATGATACCAAGTAAGAATTAAGGTTTAAAATTAAGGTTTATACAAAAGATTGCTCAGACAGCAGTAAGAATTGAAACCACATACAGATTTCAGTTGTGATAATGAACATAAATATATTTATCATCTTATTGAATTCTTGTAACTAAGCTTTGACTCCAAATTCTGTTTGAGAATTCTGTTCAAATACCTTCTCTCTCATTTTTGAGAGCAATCAGATTTAAAGTTTACCAACCACCAAAATCACACCTAATACAAGGACCCTTCAAATATCTTCTGCAACTTGTGGTGTACCTAATAAAATGCTCTTCATGCACAAATAGAATTCCATAGCCCAAATCTCATGGTTTTTAACTAATCCAGGCCCATATGTCCCCTTATCTTTGCATACTTGTAGTGCATTTTTAAGGCTATAGCTTTAGAAATATTCTGATATTAAAAGTTTGCCCTGAAGAAAATAAGCCTCTTTAAAACTATCTTAAAAACACAGATTACAATCTCATATACTGTTAGATGCCAAAAAATGTATTTGTTCCATGTTGTGGTTCCTGCCGAAATGTGTTTTGTGAATGGCACTGACAGGGGAATGATTTGTCAGCACCTCAGGGAAATGACAAATTCCCTTGCAAGAAAAACCATCCATACAACACATTTTCATGGGATTCCCATCACAGGAATAATTCTGAAAACTGAACAAACATGTTGCATGAACAGCTTCCCTAGATTAAAAAAAACTCCTACAAGATAAACCAAAAGTTGCCCTGACCTGGATAGCCCAGGCAAGCCTGATCTCATCAGATCTCAAAAGTTAAGCAGGACCAACCCTGGCGAGTTACTTGGAAGGGAGACCTTCAAGGAATACCAGGGCTGGAATGCAGAGGCAGGCAACAGTAAGCCATCTCTCAGAAATGTCCAAGCCCCACTATGGGTTGCCAGAGTCAACCATGACTTCCAGGCATACACGAACACACACACACACACACACACACACACACGCACACACACACAAAATACTCACAAAAAAATAAATAAACCAAAAGTTTAATAGCATAGTGCTATAAAAGGCTGGGTTGATTCATAAATAAAGGCCTCTGTTCTAATCTTGTTTTGGCTGTGAACCTACTACTAGCCTTCAGAGCCACTCAGGCTCCCCCTCCCCTTGTAGCCTGGGGATAATAAACTGACGTACCTCACGAGTAAAAATGAATACTGCATATAAAGAGCTTCGAACTCCAAAGTGCTATGTAGATGCCATGTATGACCAAGATAGCATGTATTTTTCATAGGAAATAAGCCCCATAAGCCACTTCTAGTTATTATATTATAATGTTTGCCAAGGAATAGAAGTGTTAATTTGTTGTGACCACACAACAAAAAGCTTTGTGACGGCACAAAAAATAAGGTTTTGTGAGCATCTGATGAAGTGGGCCCTAGCTCATAAAAGCTTATGCCACAGTTAATCTGTAAGCCTGTAAAATGCCCTAATTTGTATATACAAGTTTCTGCATTATGTCTAGTGGTAAATGAATAAAATATATGAACTGTCCAGTCAATCAGTCAGTGAACTGCCCAGTCTCATATGAACCAGCTCAAATATTACTTAATTCCCTGTCCTGATGCAAGAAGAACTGAGAAGCTGAGCTGTTAGTCTTTCCTGTGTTCAGCCAGACTCTGGCAGACCCAGCAGTCATTTTTAGAAAATATGCCTAGGTATCCTGATTCAACTGAGAAAGAGTATAAACACAAACTGATTAAAGAAGTTTGCATCTTTTACAAAAGCCAAGAAATGAGAAGGGAGCATCAGCAGTACTTGTTGGAAATGCTAGGGGTAGGCTTCCATAGACCTGGGATATCTGAACCTCGTTAGTTTTTGGCATGCCAAAGCATAGTACCCTCCTATTTTACTCTGGGAGCCATTCCATAAAATTGTTCCAATGAACAAAAGGCCTGAGATCTAAGAAGAGAAGCTTGCAGATAACACAGGTTGGCACAGTGAACAGGAACTTACTGGAAGTGTGTAATGAGGTGGGGGGGACTTTGCAGAAATCGTCAGACACACTCTACTAATACAACATGTAAACTTACATGTCTTTGTATTTTGAAGCAACAGCTGTTCATCATCTGTAAACAAACATTTCCTTTGAAGTCAATGGCACTGACCTTCACACAATGAGTTGGGGCCAGAAGACATAAATTAGAAAATAAAATATGCTGTGTGGTAAATGTCCCTTTTAATTCAGTTGGGAGTTCAGCACGCCTACTATGCTATTGACTACACACAAGAAGAGCCCCCCATGGATGCATTTCCTGTTACAATGCTAGGGTTGCCAAGTACTTACAGCAATCCGGCGGGGGACACATGCTCCCCGGCCAGAACATTTCTCCTTGTAACGCACCATGCCGTCGCCAGGAAATGACACTGGGCGACGTTCTGGCAATGGGGCTGAAAACTCGATGGTACCATCGAGTTTCTGGCCCCATTGCCAGAGCGTCGCCTGGCATCACTTGCTGGCGATGGCATGGTGCGGTACGTCTGTTGTCCCCGCAGGAATTATCCTGTGAAGAAGTCTTCATCCCCCGCAGAATCACGGTAAGTACTTGGGAAGCCTGTACAATGCATATATTGTATATTCTTTACAGAGAGCCAGTTTGGTGTAGTGGTTAAGACTCTAATCTGGGAGAACCGGGTTTGATTCCCCACTCCTCCGCTTGCACCTGGCAAGTAGGTAGGACTGAGAGAGCTCTGACAGAAACTGCTCTTCAAGAACAGAGAACTATGGCTTGCCCAAGGTTATCCAGCAGCTGCAAGTGGAGGAGTGGGGACTCGAACCCGGTTCTCCCAGATTAGAGTCCGTGCACTTAACCACTACACCAAATAATGAAATGGTTTACTTACCAGTTGCCCCATCCTTGGAAACCTGCAGCCTGAAGGACATGAACTGCAAACTGACAAATGTACACAAAGAAGAAAACAAAGAATCTGAAAGAACTGTCACTCCTGAAAAAGAGGGGGGGAGAGAGAGAACATTTGAAATGTCTTCACAATGTTTTGCGAACATTACCACAGATGATGATGCCAGGAAAGCATGATCATCAGTAGAAACATCTAAAATTATACAAAATATTTTATATATAAACTTTGTTTTTGTGACTGCATCCAGTTGCTATGGAAATAGAGCTGCCTAGTTTATGAAGCAGTATTCCCAAATGTTATCAATACAAACTACACTAATTTAACATTGCACAAACAGCAGGGTAACAAAAGTCTTAAAAACAAACAATTTAAAACAATTACACGATCAGTGATAGGATCTCTGCATTGTAAAAGGACCTTCATCTTACTGCCTAATATATAGTCAAATGACACCACCTTATTTCCTGTCTTATCTTATTGGAGAGATGTCTTATTCACCAATCACTAAAGTAAAATGCCACCTATTGTATTATGCTTCTTAAGCAAAAGATGAAAAGAAATGTGGTCCAAGAAAGTCTATGGATCATAAGTGCCTCTCCCATCCATAGTAGGCACTTGCGTCCATGGAAGAGGGGGAGGATGATTTTTGCTGATGCCACACTCTCACTGCAGCCCTCGACTTTGATTCCAAGGAAGTTCCTGGGGATCTAGTGACACATACGGTACAATTTCAAGGGGACGGATAACTACAGTGGAACGGGGAAGGCAGAAAAGTCTCAGTTTATGCAGTGCAGTTCTGTTTAGAATCCAAGACTTTAGTTCTTCTATTTTCCATTTTATTACTTCTGGGAAAAGAAAAAGTATAAACCTAGCTAAATGAGCTTATTTACAAAGCAATTACCAATGACACATATAGGGATGGGCATGAACCAGCTCACGAATTTTTGTGACGAATTTTGGCCTGTTTGTGGTTTGTGAACTGAAGTTTCTGGCGGGTAAATCAGCACGAACTTCCATGAACCTTCAAGTAGTTTGTGGAATTCGTGCCAGTTGATGAATAGATACATTTCCAGACAGTCTCTGCTCAAACAAAATGTTTACCAAACTTCAAAGCAACAGGGTGGCAGGGTGGCAGAATTCTCTACGACCCATCCCGAAGGAGGTCAGAGTGGGGCTAGGTGGACCTGGCGTGCATGACTGAGACCTGGGTGCAGGATGGGGAGACGGTAGCTCTCTCCCAACTTGCCCCACCCGGGTTCTCGGTCCTACATCAATCACGGACTAAGGGGCGGGGGGAGGTGTGGTGATGTTCATTCGGGAGGCTTTCTCCTTCAGGGCACTCCCCCTGTTGGAGATCACAGGCATGGAGTGTGTCAGCTTCGTGCTGGGGACCGTGGAGAGTTTGGCGATCTGGCTAGTGTACTGACCGCCTAACACACCAGCCAGTAGCCTAGCTTTTGGAGCACCCTAGCTTTTGGTCTTGGGTGACTTCAACATCCATGCCGATGACGCAGCCTCCAGCCAGGCTGCGGACCTGGTTTCGTCCATGGCGGCACTGGAACTCTCTCAACTTGTAGCGATCCCCATGCACCAGGCCGGGCACACACTCGATTTGATCTTTGCGGTGGGGATTAGAGTGGACAGGATTACTGCAGTGGCAGTACCATGGTCGGACCACTTTGCCCTGAAGGCTCATCTGAATGTCCCACCCCAACCCTGTTTAGGCAGCGAGCAGATTTTAGCTCACCCGCGGAACCAAATGGACTCTGTTCGGCTTCAGATGTCTCTGCGGGATCCGATGCCCCCTGGTGGCTCACTGGATGAGCTTGTGGAGGACTGGTATGACCGACTCTCCACAGTCATCGATGAGATCGCTCCCAGGTGCCCTCTGCGCTCTAGGCTTGCCCCTTGGTATACCCAGGGGTTGCGGCTTATGAAACGAGAGCTAAGACGGCTAGAGAGACCGTGGCGGTGTGCCCGTGACGAAGCATCAAGAACATCTTATAGGACATTTATGAGATCCTACGAGATGGCAGTCAAGGCTGCTAAGAGGGAGTTCTATGCAGCCACGATTGCATCTGCGAGCTCACGCCCAGCCCAATTATTTAGAACAATTCGGTCTTT